GACCTAGATCGGGTTGGAATAGGCCACTTTCAATCTAAAGGATGAACTAAAGAAGTGTTTTATTCCTTCGAATTATAACCAAGAGATCGACTTTGTATGAGAATAACTATGTGGTAATCAAAATTATTTGATTAAGTTAGTGTAGCAAAAGTAAATAAATAATAGTTAAAAAAAACTAAAAAACACGCTTTTATAGCACATCAAACTAAAAAGTGAAAAATAATTCCTAATTTAGGCTGAAAATGGTAATGAAAAAAAAATACTGGTATTATTGTGAAAAAGCGTGGGTTGCTCTATAGACGAAAAATATGGCACAGAGCAGGAATTGTTTTTCACTTTTTAGTTTGATGTACTTTAAAAGCGTGTTTTTTAGTTTTTTTAAACTATTATTTATTTTTTAGTTAATTTTTTCATTTTTTTTTTCGGATTATTGCATTGTCATCGATCTTTGACAGGTGCGCAAAGTTTGAATTAAATCTGTCCGTTAAAAGTGGGTCAAAATCGAGTCCGAAGGAGTCGGTTACATACATACATACATACATACAGGTGAAGCTAATATAAAGCGTGTAAAAATCACTACTAACTTCTTATTACAAATTTATATTTAATTTAGGTTTAAAATTATAAAACTAAGGTTTAATTTAAAGCTTGTTTACAGCTGACTTAATGAAAGTCATTGCATTTGTTGAAAACGGATTTTTTTAAACGCGTTGTTAGCGTTAAGGTAATTTATATGTTAAAAATGTTTTCTAGTTGACCAGAAATGGGGATTAGATATTAAAAGACACAGTGCTTCTACGGGGTTTTCACGTAGGTTTTGTAAATAATTGTTGGTAGTGTAAATAATGCCGTGGTGATGGCTCTTCAAAGCGCAACAGCTGTCAAACTGGTAGACCACGTAGATAGAACCCGTAGCAAACTTATCGACAGTTTCGTCAAGTATTCGTACCCAATATTCAAAACGAATAGGTTCTTAATATAACTTTATCTGCTGGCAGCGTAACAATTTACGAAACATTTGACCTATAGTTTCAAATTCATCTATTTATAATTAAATTCAGATATTCGATATATGTTGCTAGTCTAATGGGGGCTATTATCGAAAGTAGTTAGTTCTACGAGCGCAAGATGCGCTGATAAAATGTTGTATACAGGGTCTACGTATGTTATAACACATGATCAGTTGTAAATACTTAGTCATAACTTAGTTATCCCTATTCCTCGAGTAGTGAATATTAATCACAAGTCTAAGCAATTCCTGCATAGTTCGCACGCAAGATTGGCTTAAGTTAGGAGTTTCATTTTTATATAGAACAGGGGGCAAACGCGCAGGACACTCTATGCCAAAGGGCTCGCGAGTGCGTTGCCGGCCTTTTACGAATTGTTACGCTCTTCTTGAAGGACCCCTAATTAAGATAAATAACTTAAAATGGAACCCAGTTATCTAAGTTGGTCTGACTCACTGTCTGTTTTCTGCCTCCTAAAATTTTAGAAAAGAGTGTCAAATTTGGAGATGGCTTGAATAAAGATAAAGAAATAAGAACCACTAATTAATATATTATACAATACTACTACCACTAAATTTAATAAATAGACGAACACAAGATAACAATGTATACATAGGTTTTACACGCTTACAACTTGTACCAATACCTGTTAACCACATCAACGTGTTAGCAACGAAGCAATTTCGGACGAGTTTCTACTTTACTCGATATTAACGGGGGAATTCTAATTATATTTTTTAATTGGATTTATTCGACATCTTTAATGTATGTTTATCGCGTAAATCGATAGGTTGAAGAGGCTTGAATATATTGCTTCGGAGGTTCTCTGCTGAAAAAATAAATTAAATAAAAATGTATAGTTATATATTTTTAGAATTCCTGTCCTGTACACAGGTGAAATAATCTAATTGTAATAAGAATAGTTTATAATATCGAATCCACTTAAACACACAAAAAATCTTAAATATTCAATCAAAATTAAATATATCCTTAATGATATACTGTCAATGAAAACCTCAACGACATTTTAAAACCGCTCCAGAGATGGCGCTGTATGTCTTTTAAAACGCGATGACATTTTCTCGATAAAGACGCTTAAGTCTCTGTCAAATATCAGCATTGGCAACTTTGCGCAGAGGCAATATCGTAACCAATGAGGTTTATCCGAGGTGCGATTATTGCTAGTTGAAAACTTTACCAATACCCCGCCACGTGGACGTGAAATACCGTCCACTACGGCAATTTTTGAACGACCGTTAAGGTCTTATTAATAACAAGGATTCTGTATTCTCAACTTCCACTGGAAATGTCAAATAGGGAGAAAAAGATTGTCAGTGGTCAGATATTAGTTTACCGTGGTAACTGGTAAGATTTATTAGTCGAAAGTCGAAACTGGAATAATCTAACCAGTATTCACCATTATGTATCTCAAGGGACAAGTCCATCCATCCATTGTATTTTATGCTGAATTGCTAGTACTGGAGCTAGAGATGCTGTTAATTCTTTATTTTTCAATCAAACGAAACGATCCTTCGTATTGTCAATACGGTATTGATGTTTGTTTTATCAATATATATGAAACGAAAAAATATCAATGAAACAGACGCAGAAATGTGTTTGCCCCACACCTCATTAGGGAATAACGAATTTTCATACAAATATTAAAGCTGTCATTGTTTTTCGTCAGTGAATACAAATTGTTCGGACATCGTGATAAAATCGGGCGATTTCGGGAGATCAGTTAAATGATTTTACGTTGCTTCAATATTAATTAATTCCTGAATTGAACGAACGTTATCTGACATTTATTGCAAACAATGATTCGGAAAGAGTGTTTTCATTTACCATAATTACAGCAAATACATCAAGTTCCTATAAAAATAAAAAAAATGTGTGTGTGTACTAGGTGTACACACGTAAGAAGTGAAACTTATATTAAACCTTTGTTGTACGCAGAGCCATAATTGGTTTGTTTTAAGTTTAGAGGTCCGAAACTATTTCTTTAAACACAGTAAATTTTGATACACTGCCTAGCATACAATTTACAAATTAATTGCTGCAAATTGCGATTAGCAAATTTCAAGTCGAAAATGTAATCCGTTGTCAAACTTCAAAGTCAAAAACATACTATATGTCATAATATTTTAACGCCGATAAAGAAGTTTGACTTCGAAAATGTAATCCGTTGTCAAACTTCAAAGTCAAAAACATACTATATGTCATATTTTAACGCCGATAAAGAAGTTTGACGAAGAAGAAGTTCAAAAACAACATGGCGCGTAACGGAAAAATGTGACGCGTAACGCAAAAATGTTACACTAAATTTTTTTCCAACCCCGATAAAGAAGTTTCACTTCAATAATTTATTCTCGTTGGAAATACTCATTTATACTCATTTAATAAACTCTCTACTAAAACTCGAACTATAGTGAGTAGTTTAATTACATTCATTATACGCTTGAACTATTTAATTTATCCAAATACGGTGAATTTCACGTAGAGGACAAACGCAGGCACTAGATCATATAGTAAATAAATCTTCAAATTCTTGTGTAATATTTATATTATCACGAAATACACACATTAAATTACTTTCGCTTTTATCGTTAATTATGTATTACCTAAAATGTTTATTAAAAGACACAGAAACAAAATAGCTAATAAACTTAAGTAAATTTTTTGATACCCTTGAATTATACGTTTATAATACAATAAACAGTTTTTGAAGTAATACTTCTTTAGGCGCGTTATGAAAAATTTATGAGAGTGAAATTTTACGATGCGCGCGCACCGTGACACAAAATTAACAGAATGAAATTGCCCACGGAAGATGCTACGGCATTGGACATCATTTAAAAAACAACATTCGAATAATAATAGAATTTATGTTACACTTAATGTAAGAGAATAATAATAAATATTTATTTATTTAATTTTTTAAATGTAAACTTTACTTTATTGACTATTATAGTCCTTTTCCAGTCTTTGTTTATTTAATTGTAATTAATTATTTTCATGCAATCAAAAACTTTTTTTAATAATGCCAAAGAAGTATAACTTGTTACGCGCGTACATAAGTACACGCACCCTTTTTTTATTCATATAAATATTGTTTGTAGAGCTATAATAAATATTTCAAACTCCGTATTTGTACTCTGAAAGGATAAATTAATATCGTCAATCAACATAGGCAGAATTTAATTAGGCGCCTTCAATATTGTAAAGGGCATTTTATTGAGGCTTGTTAAACAAAGATCAAATAATCAAAATTTAATTTGAACCTTTTTACAACAATGTGATCCCTTCGGCTATATTTTAGTCTACAGAGTGAGGAATTTGTCGTAGTTCAAAGATGAATAATAAAAAAGCTATAAAGGACTTGCTTACATTGTTTTGTTTAAGTGAAAATCGAAAAGAATAATTTGAACTTGAATATTATAAATCTGAAATTAAGACAAAAAACCTTGAAAAAATTAAATGTGTTTTGGAGAAAATAGGTACCTATAGAGAAGAAATCTATATATTATAATTCTCGGTATATAGGATACATTAGATTTTATTGTCTCCTCAATTATCAAGAAAGTACATTCCTTTGACTTCCCTTTAAAATATAATAGTTGCATTTTATTTGATTGATTGATGTTTCCTATTACTGTTTGAATTCCTTGGACTATAGATTATCAAAGGGGGTCATATGCATTACTAACTAATTCACAGAGGCTGTCAGTCTTATTATTGGCGAGTACGCCAATATAATTAATTTAATACTATTAATGAAAATTAAATAAATTACATAATTTATTTAATACTACTAAATAAATTATGTAATTATACATATTTGTTAAATATATACCGAATATTTGTTACTCTCTCACGCTTCTAGGTCTTGACATAGAAAGGCTTTTCAAGGCACTTTCCGCAGCGCACGCGCCTTCTGTGGAACCTGCTACCAGTAAATCTACTTCCGAACCGATACTACTAAGGGCCTTTAAGATGGGTGTAGGGATTGCAATCCGGAAAAATGGATCCGGTAATCCGGCGGATCTGGCATCATTTAATGGTTACCGGATTCGGTACCAATATCGGTATATTGGAAGACCGGATCCGGTTCTAGCAGTTTGTGGGAAAATAATATAGCTGTTGCATGAGTTTTAAGTAGTATAGTTTAAGAATTACAATTACAAATCCAGCAAGAAGCCACGTGTTATAGCGTACATACTAAAAAAGAGAAAGATTTTGATAAAGTACAAAAAAAAGAAATGACGACATTTGAAAGCGATGGAGTCCGAGGAGAATACTTGTCTGCTATTCATGATTATTTGCTGACAATAAAGCCGACAAGTGTAGAAGCTGAAAGGGCCTTTTCGGCCGCAGGCTATATTTGCAGCTCTATTAGAAGTCGTTTAGCTGATGACACAATTAACAATATTTGTTTTCTACGATCGTATTTTCAAAATCAATATTGATTTTCTTTTAATACTTATATTTTTTTACAATTATTACTTAAAATAATTATTTATCGTAAGTTGATTAAACTAAAGAGTTCTAAACTCATTATTGTGATAATTTTTGCCATTCATTCGTTCGACAGATTCATCAAATCATGATGGTATCTGTCATAATCATAAATACCTATAAGACTTGTATTCTCAAATACTTTAATAATGATTTTGATCTCATTTCAGTTAATTACGTAAAGTTAATTGTATCTATTAGATATTATAGTTACTTGATAATTAATATTGTTACTTATAAATTGATCTATCTGTGAAAGTGAAATCTAGAAAGACTGAGCTACTCGTTACCTCGTAAAATTATTACTAGTTACCTACACTACTAAATTTTAATTGGTTTCTTGTTGTCTATTTGTCTTAACATTGGTTAGGAAATAAAGTCGATTTTATATATTTGTGATTTATTTTTTATAAACTACCTACATATAAGTGCAGTGACACTTGATTAACTCACTTATTTTGTACTAAAAAGCGAAAATCATCTTGATTTAATCAATCCGGCCGGATCCGACCGGACTGAAAATGACGCCGGATTGCAATCACTAGATGGGTGTACCGTTTCTTCAAAAGTCGGAAAAGCACCCACAAGCTCCTCGGCATCCACGGGCTGCGATTAGCACTTTATTCAAAGTGACTCACTGTTTGCTCTATAAAAAAAGGGATACAAAAAAAACTTCCCCGTCAATTATATTCATATGTTTAAAACTGCTTACTATACTTACTTGTTATTCCTTAACATAGACAATAGCCTCGCAATACGTCATTAGTAAAAGACTATGTCAAAACAAAGTGACAACGAAAAGTCACAAAAAGTATCGTTTGACATTGACATTGACGGATGGAAACTTTATTGCGGCCACATCTGCACGAAATGATGCCATTTGGGCGAATAACGCCGTTGACTTAAAAACAGCTTTAAATATTTTTCTTGTGGATCTTGTTGTAAAAAACATATATCTATATTTCTGTATTATTGGTAAGTGTATACTTTTATATATTGTATATTCGGATCATATCAGACATCGTCCCATCGGAGTATATATTTTTTATTATTCTTAAATTTCCAGTGAAGCATGACGTAATGGTTACAATTCCTTCTAATTTCCATGTAAACCAAACATTTGGCGATTTAAAAAAGTGCTAGAGAGATTTTCTTGCCAGATCTTCTCGCTCGCTATACGTCCTTGATTCGAGAACTGGTTAATGTAAAATATAAAAAATAGATCTTGCTTTTTTTAAATTTAAAGGAAAATAAATATGTATTGACATTCATAAGAGTACTACCAACATTATTAAATACATTCTGATTTGATTTTTGACTTGTGTCTGCGCACATTAATTGTGTTTTACAGATATGAGATTAAGTGCCATGGCCAAACCGGCCTGCACAAACATCTTTTATGGTAAGCAGCTTAGCTACGGGCAGAAGGCTCATCTGATGTTACGTGATGTTGACATTGCCAGAGTGCTCGCAAGTGTGTCACCGGCCTTTTAAGAACTGATACACTCTTTTCTTTATTAGATCGGAAATACATCGGTGGGCAGCTGGTTCTACATAGTGGTGGTGCGCGGCCAAAACTGCCTTAAAAAACGCTCAGTTATAGAACATATACCCATTCATTCAATATTGATGATGATGATTTTTGGTGACAATTTAGTGATTACCTCGTAGGTATACAGTATCAAACTAATAAAGCAATATAATTTAAAAAAACCTTTAAATAAGATCTAAAGAAAATTCGAAAGATTTTCTAAAGTGATGTTGTTATTTTACTTCACCTTTCGTTTAATTCAAAGCTATGAGTTTTCTTTTAATTTTCTTAAAAGGAATTCTTTATCTAAAAGTGATTGGAACGACTTTGAATCAATTTTTCATTTTCCTTTTCCACGGAAAATCCTGTACAACTATTTCAGTAAACTAGTAGTAGTAAATACATTTTAAATTATGCTGATTTAAGATACTGTAAATCTTAGGTTATTTGTATATAAATATTATATTTATGATATGTATTATGTAGACACGTCCGAAATTTATATTAGCGAAGGACATCGCGAGTCGCGACATAACGAAGAAAAGTTTGTTCACGAATAATGGCACACGTGTTAATGCAATTAACAATAACAAAGGCAAGACGGCTGTCTATGACCTCAGGTGTCTTTCGTAGAAATTTTGGCTCAAAAGGTTAGTTTTGTAAGCTGATTATAAAAACAATTACACTTAAGTATGTTGTTGATGTCTAAATATGAAAATATTTCTTCGTAATAGAGAATGTCTGTTGCATTATAAAGAGAGTATTATTGTATGGGTTTTGTGTTAAACCGAACAAATTTAGTTTTTAAGTTATAGAGAGTTTTTCGTTATAACGAATAAAGAGTGTACACTGTATTTGAATTTCCCAATATCTCCGACCCTTGTGGTGTTCCCATTTTATACACATATTTTGTACAAGTATATATTAAGGAATTTCCTAATATATTACTATTCCTATTCTATATTTATAGGCGAGTGGGGGCCCCGTCTACTCGCCTCCGCTACGCTCTTGTTGCAGTGAATGACGAATTTCACTAAGTTACTGCAGAAATCTTCCAGTTGCGATCTGAAGCTTCTTCTTCGGTAGTAACCGAGCATTTACCCGAAATATTATATCGATTTGATGCTCCAGATCGCACCTGGAGGCTCCAAATACAGGACATTCTATAATGAATTTAATAACAATAGTATTATTGTATAAAAGTATTCAATTAAAAAGAATCAAGCCTATGTAACGGTAATAATATGGTCACAGAGCTCATAAATTAACAACATCAAAGTCAAGTTACTACAAAACCGTTAAAACCTGTGGTTTATTTGATTTGCCAATATTGCAGACTATTTGACAGTCCATCGCATAGCATAGCACATCACAGTACAGCGCTGCGCAGCTCAGCTAGGCTCAAAGCAACGCAACACAACATAGGATGTAAAATCTTTTCTTACTTACGTTTGTAAAAGATGGAATTACTCAAAGAAGTAGCAGTTTGTCAGAGGGGACTAGGCGTTTAAACGAATCTAAACGTTTACGTGTCACGTCACGCAAGAAAAGAAGTTTAATTTTAAAATCAGTTTGTTTAGTTTTTCGTACATACAATAGTAGGTAGAATAAATGCAGAATGCAGGCGCCATGATTATGACACAACACAGCACAACACAACATAACTAAACAACACGTAACAAGACAAGACAAAATCTTTTTTTAATAGAATTTGATTTGATTATTCAATATACATATGTAGTTGCCTTTGAGAACGATACAACGATGATAGCGGTCATACAATTTTAGATACCATTTTTATAGGACTATTTGTCTTTAGCCTTAGAAAAGGCTTCATTTTCCGTCCGGCTAGAATTCTCTTGAGGTTTGAAAAAGCCGCTGGGAAAATTAGTGATCCGCGTTAAACTAGAAAAAGGTTTGCCTTTTCTTGCAAGATTGAGGTCTGCGCCGGTACTCTGTAACTCCAAGTAGCGATCTCAAATTTCACACGAAGGAATTTGTCAGTTAATTTTTACAAAATTACACATACTAACTAATTTATTATAAATCAACGAATGAATATTCCTCTCGCAATTATCAGGTTTTCAGAATTTTTTTAATGAATTCAAATAAAATCCTTTGAATATTTTAAATGATTACTTCAGACCGTTTCGATTGAAGCCGTATCCCAATTAAGAAGGGGACATGACGATACGAAGGAAACGGATTATTGGATGTGCTATTTTATTCTTTTTTTATTCAGATTAATCAGTCGTTTGCCCGGGTATTACTTAATTTGGGTGACTTTCATATGCGTTATTTACAAAAACTAATGATGGAGAGTATTTTGATGAACTATTTTGGAAGAACCCATCAATCGATGGATCATGAAAATGTTCCATGAAATAGTTCAAAATTTCATTCGCACTATGATAGCTGGAACTTTTCACAGTTCACTTTACAAGGTGATTTCCCGAAAACTAGTGTGGAATCAGCTCTCAGTGGAGGACTTCCTAAAACGACTTTCAGTTATTTTAAATAAAGTGTATTGCTCCCAGAAGCAGGAAAACTAATTGACTAGATGGGTCCAACTAACCCAACCAACTCAAAAATATGAAACGTAAGTCATATAACTTCCAAAGCACCAAGTTCAGTGGTTTTCGACAGTTTATTCTTGTTCTATGGATTCAAAATAAAAAGCTTTCATAAAGACCGCTGGCTAAATTCTACCGTATAGCAGCATGATGGTATGGTAATTGTTCCTCTTTTATGTCTACAAAATGGTATTTATACGTATTATTTAAGGGTACCTTATATAATAATTTATATAATTTTTACAGTAGTAAAAAAAAGTGTGTGCGTGTAACCTTTTACGCGCGATTGAAGTAAAACTTCTTTGGCGGTGACGGCATATATCACTGAAATGATTAAATATTAACTTAAATAATAAATATCATATTATAATTTAATTATTATATTTATTATTCATGTGCTTTACAAAGATTATTCAAATACGAAGGTTGGATCAGCACATGTCAATAACCTTGTTATTGAATATTATAGAATATCGGCAATCGTCCGAAAATGTAATATTTATTAACTTATTTTAAAAGTAATAAATCAATAAGTATATTTAGAGATTTTCAAAAATTTTGCAATTTAAAACATTTTTTTTAAAACTGTTGAATTTTTTTTATTCACTTTACTATTCTCCTTATACAACTTGGTTATTTTTAAAATAAAAAAAACGCGACTAGATGGCGCTGACGGACTTATAAAACGCGCTATCGTATTATTTTAAATAGCGGAAACTACGTTTAAGCGTTACTTCCGTCAGAAAAAAATCTGAGTTACTCCCTAGTCGCGCCTAAAGAAGTTTTACTTCAAAAATATTTTGATTGCACATAAATTTAGGCTTGTCCAATTAAATTACGTTGCTTC